CCTGCCAGGTGCAGGAACACCTTCCACCAGCTCAGGTTGCTCCAAGTCCCATCCAACATGGCCTGGAGTCTTTCCAGGGATGGAGCAGCCACAGCTTCCCTGGGCAAAATATGTAAATAATAGTTTAGGGCCTAGGAAGTGGCAAATATAAAACCCCCTCAAAATACACTTGACAACAGAAAATAAGCTTTTTCTTTCATTTTGCTACCCATTCTCTGGTGGAAGGCAGCAGACTTCACACTACTGGCAGGAACATTAAATGCAATAAAACCTGTGAAGCTGATAGCAAATTGCTGGAACTGGGGACATGATCCAGGTCTGGCCTTGGAACTGAAGCTGAAATTTACAGCTCAGAGTACTGTAAAGCATCAGGCATTTTATAGCTGCATCTTTTGCACTTGAACCCAAGTTTCACCTAGAATCAAATCTCAGCACATTCAGTGGGAGTGGAGATGCTCATAAATAACAACACCTACAAATACTTACATAGAACCCAAAAAAGAACAGGTTTGTTCCCTTCAGATAACTTCAGACTACCACACTGAAAGCTTTTGTGTGCTCATCTGGACACTTTTCTCCATAAACACGCAATACACAAAAAGCCTTAATATTTTCCTATCAGGCCAGATACATGAGATTTCCAGAGCCCAAAAATTAACTCAGGTCTCAAACACAAAGCCACAGTTGCATTACACAGAGTATTTTGCAGCAGTAAAGGTTTAAGATATCCACCTACCCTGAGTTGGTCATTTCAGCTCACTTTTCCTGTCTCCACTCTGTCTGCTGCCTTGATTGCAGAAGCACAACTGCTCCTGGAGCTGTTCTGTGAAAGAGATTCAAGCAGTGAGTTCACTTTCTGCAGAGCCCCTTCTAATCCCTTTGCTTCCCTGGCCCCAATTTCACAGAGCAGAACCAGCTGTGTTTGTGCCAACACCTCACCCTAAAGCTGAAGTTATGAGAAATACCTGGGCCTGGGACTATCATCCAGCACTGCCCTCCAACCCCCCATGCCTTGCCCCATCAGGTGCTGGTGGAAGTGTTTGTACAACTACCCAGAAAACTGAATTTGGCATCTTGTTTGCCATTTGGTTAGTTTTAATCCATCTCAGTACTCAATGTGCATCAGAGCACTTCTGTCTGCTGGGAGAAGAGAGTACAGGGCTGTAAAGAGCCCACACAAACTGCTTCCCCAGCTGTAGGGCAATGCCTGACACAGGTGAAAGGATATCTGAAACTCAAGGTACTAATCTGCAATTCTCAAGTTATAGAGAGGCTGTAAATTCATGAAGAAGAGTTGTGAGTTCTTGGAGAAGAGTTGTGAGTACTTGAAGAACAGACACTTGATCGAGTGCAGCACTACTGAGAACTGAATAATTAGGTAATCCCCAACTGGGAGAGGACAGGAAACATCAGAATTTCAGCATTTCTGGCCACATCCAGGTTAGAAATTACCCATCTTGAAGATCTACAGCACCAAGTACTGGCACTTGATTTTATTTACAGATGATACACAGAGTAATGTAGTATCTACTCCAGCACTTGCCACATGATGACAAACATTGCTATGAGATCCAGACTTCCAGCAAATTATTCTGGAATCCCAAGGGACCTCTATCCCCGTCATTCAGGATGGTTATTAGCTCATTAAAATCCTATTTCACTTTTTTCCTCACAGTGCAAGTGAATTCTAATATTGCCCTGTGCTCATAGGAACCTAATAAGAGCTAAAACTCCTCATTTACTCCATTCCCTCATCTGAGAAATAATTAAGTACAACAAAAAAGGGAAAGACTTGAACATTATAAAGTTCTGGTTTCACAATGTTAGTGCAAGAAGTTTCATCTCTCTTGACAAATGCTGCTGCAGCTTAAGCCCTGACACAAAGCAAACTATGAGTTTGGTAGTTTCATTAACAAATGACTTTGCTCCCAGAAAGCATCAATGCAACAAGAAGACTCCTGAGATAAATGTGACTAAGCAGCAGGAGTTAATTAAGTAGGACAATGAGTAAGCATTTATGGGCATGATAGGAGACCCAGCTGATTTAATTGCTAGTCTAATTATCAATTAGAGAATCAAGAAATGGCGTGTAAGTGAAATATTCCATTTGTTGATACTGTAATGATTTTTAGAGACCCAGAAGAGCAGTATTAATTGCTATTTTAGGACTACAGAAGGAGGGTTTTTTTCCTCCTCTTGCTCAAACAGAGGTTCTTAGTACTTCTAAAATAACTAATAAATGTGTACACAGTCTCCTCATACTCAAATATTTCAGGCCTTCAGATCATTTTCTCTATTAAAAAAAAAAAGCTGGCAATTAAGCATTCAAACACACTGCCTATAAACCACTCAGCTTAAGTCAAAACCTTCCTGCAATCATTTTATGCTAAGGATAAGAACTGCCCAGTGGTGTGAGAGAGTCACATTAACCATTTACAGTGTGTTTGCACAAGTCAATTCCCAGGCAAAAAGAAAAGAGGTCAGGGAACTATTTAAACCCACGAGGGAAAAGTGCCACTTGGCTACACTCATTGCTGAGATGTTTTATAAAGAAAATAAAGTGACCAAAAAAACGGATGGAGGGCCAAAAATATTAATAGAGTGGAACACAGAGAAGTGTTCACAGGCTGCAAATATTTTTGGGGTTCTCACACAGAACCCATAAAAGATGTTGAGGTCTTCCTCAGGACTTATGTCACAGATGTGTAGTTTGTAAAGAACATCCTGTGCCTGAGAACATTGGCCAAACACTCCTGGAGCTCTGTCAGCCTTGGGGCTGTGACACTGCCCTGGGGAGCTGTTCAGTGCCCAAACACCTCTGAGGGAAGAACCTTGTCCTAATATCCAACCTAAACCTGTTCCAGTGCCCAACACCTCTGGGGGAAGAACCTTGTCCTAAAATCCAACCTAAACTTGCCCTGCCACAGCTCCAGCCATTCCCTCACGTCCTGTCACTGGTCACAGAGAGGTCAGTGCTGCCCCTCTGCTGTCCCTCATGGGGAGACTGTATAAAATCACAGCCTCACACAGGCTGGAAGGGACCACAATGTGTCACCTGGTCCCATCTCCCTGCTCCAGCCCATCCCAGAGCACAGGGCTCAGGGTTGTGTCCCTTGAACACCTCCAGTGAGGGAGAACCCACAGCCTCTCTGGCCAATCTGTTCAGTGCACACGAAAGAAGTTCCTCACATTCAGATGGAATTTCCAGTGCATCACTCTCTGCTGTTACCTCTTGCTTTATTGTTTTCCACCACTGAGCAAAGCCTGAGCCATCCTGGCAGCTCCAGGTACTTGATACCTTCATCTCCTCGTGTGCATTACTGAGATCTCTCTCAGTGCCTCTTCCCGAGGCTGAGTCTCTGTGCATAGCGATTAAACACGGAGGATGAATCCAGGGCAGGCAGTTTTAGCTGTTTTTTCCCCCGGAGAGGTTGTGGTGGTGGCAGGAGGGAGCGGCTGGAGGACAAAGGGAACGAGAGCTGTCCCAGCCCCTCTCGCTGGCAGCGCCGACAGGAGCGTCACAATCAGTGCCTGGCAACGGCCAAAGCACAGGCTGCGAGTCCTCCACGGGCTCCGAGAGCTTCCACAGCTCCCCCGGGGCACATGGCACACGGTCGGAAAGGGCTCACCGAGCCCTGCAACTTCACAGCGCAGGATACCTTCTGGTACCCAACCCATCCCTCCATCCTCCATCCCTGTATCCCTCCATCCATCCCTTCATCCTCCCCCGCGGCTCCGTCCCTGCTCCCTCCCCTCTGCGGGGGGAGGGATCGCTCGTGGGTTCTCTTCCCGTGTGTTTAAAGTGTCTCTGCTCGTTCAGGTGTAAAATAAAGAGTTTTGAGCTGGCCTGGCAAAGCAGCGAGTGCCGGGTGTGTGTGCCCCAGTGCTCCCTCCGTCCCCTTGAATCCTGTGCTCAGCTCTGGGCCCCTCCGCTCACAAAGGACATTGAGGTGCTGGAGCAGGTCCAGAGCAGAGCAACGAGGCTGGGGAAGGGACTGGAGCACAAGTGGCATGAGGAGAGGCTGAGGGAGCTGGGGGTGTTCAGCCTGGAGAAGAGGAGGCTCAGGGGAGACCTTAGCACCCTCTGCAACTCCCTGACAGGAGGTTGGAGTCAGGTGGGGGTTGGTCTCTTCTCCCAGGCAACCAGCAGCAGGACAAGAGGGCACAGACTCAAGCTCTGCCAGGGGAGGGTTAGGTTGGATATTAGGAGGAGATTTTTTACAGGGAGAGTGCTCAGGCATTGGAATGTGCTGCCCAGGGAGGTGGTGGATTCACCATCCCTGGAGGTTTTCAAGCTGAGACTGGATGTGGCACTTAGTGCCATGGTCTAGTGACCATGATAGGGTTGGACTTGGTGATCTTGGAGGTCTCTTCCAACGCAGTTGATTCTATTATCTCACCCAGTGATTGTAGATGAAAGTGTGTATCAAATGATGTTGGAGGTTACTTTTCAACTTTCTCCAGTTCCTCTCAGAAGCCTAATTTATAGGCAGTGTGTTCACACACATCATTTGTAACCTATGGAAAGTATTTCCCTGTTACCTCCGAGTCAGACAATGATAACTCAGACAATAATTCATCCTTACGTACCTCAAAACAGCAAGTTTTATTTAGTTAAAGCTTATTTACCTCAAAACAGCAAGTTTTGAGGTAAATAAGCTTTAGCTAAATACTTCATCAGGAATCTTTAGACCTTTACCTCAAAACAGCAAGTTTGGAAGTAAATAAGTTTTAGCTAAATACTTCACCAGGAATCTTTAGACCTTTTTCTCCAAACTTGCTGTTTTGTGGTACATAAGCTTTAACTCTTTGCTTTAATAGGAATCTTCAGACCTTTACCTCAAAACAAGTTTATTTATGCCAAGTTTTGAGGTAAAGGTCTATAAGTTCTTGCTAAAGTGCTGTGCTTTGTGGCATTAGTGACTCGGGTTTGCGTGCTGGGTTTTTGTTTCAGTGGAAGTTTTCAAAGTAATCTGTATGTATCTTCCTGTTGGTTTCAGGAAAAAATGTGTTGAGAAGGAGCTAGAAGCTGAAAGAAAATGGTCTGACAAATGGGGATTCATGCAAGCAGCTCTTAAGGAGGTAAAATTGAATGACAACACATGAAATCTACTTGCATACCAATGTATCTGACACAAAACTAAGAGAAAACAAGACTAGAAAAGTACTGAGAATGCTTTACTAAGAGCTGAGGTAACAGCTACTTCTAAGATGGGTTCAAAGTTTCAGTTTTCCCCTGAATAAAGTACAGCAAGTGGTAATTTATATGCCATGCATATTCTGATATATTTCTCCTGAGAAACATGACTCCTAATAGTGTTAACAAGGACTAGATGCACAGTGACAGGAAAATATTTCCCCTTTGTCTATCCATATGGTAGTTTAAAAATCGAGGGGAGAAGGTTCCAGCTAATTAAATTTTCAGTGGGGGAATTTGCAACCAATGAAAATATTTGGAGTGATGTCTCTGCTCAAGGATGTTTAGGTATTAGATGTTACATTTGGAATCACAGGATTTCATGGCTAAAGAACAGGATTGATGCAGCCCCTGAACAGTTACAAATGTACTTTGCATGGGGTTAGAGGTAATCTATTCTAGGAGGTTTTGGGAGTTCCTGTAGGCATCCAAGTTAGCTCCTTTGAAACTTTGGTCCTCGTGGCTTCAGCATCCATCCTGGATAACTGTGGTCTGTCACATCATCAACTTTGACAGTACAAACAGATCTACAGCTGAAAACCTGACAAACTCTGCACTGTTGTTGTTGGAGAACATGTGCATTCAGCATTTATTAGTCTTTGCTTTGTAGTCATAGAAGAGAGATAGATATAGATACATAAAAGGTGTATTTCTTGCCCTTTTTGGATCACTGATGTAATTAAGAGAGTTGGAATCACTCAGCAATATTTAGCCTTTCACCTGAAATTCAGAATGACATCACTTTTTTTTGCAGCCAAAAAAAGACAATAGTGTCTAAAGCACTGAAATAAATAGTCCTGTTTGGGATGGAAAGGACAGGAAGTTCAGCAGCAACAATGAGGGGAGTGGGGTAGGTATCACATACTACACTACATTTCAAAAGATAAAGAGTCCAACTTTTAATTATGTTTTGACTTTAGTTGCTTGAAGAAGAAAAGAAAGAAAATGCAAAGCCCAAGATAGAGCTCCCAGAACACCTGCAGATTCGACCTGTGACACCTGTGGAGAAATACCTTAAGGTCAGAAAATTAGATATTAAATATGTATTCCACAGCATCTGTCTTAGGAAACCACACAACGATTGTCCTGTAGAGGTAGGTCTTTAAGAGACAGAGAGTGTTTTTGGCAGGGGCAATGCCACTGTCCTCCTCAGTGGCCCAAATCAGTAAGTTCTGATGAGCCAAGTCATAACTATTTGAATATATATTATGATTTATATATGTCTGGAGTCCGAAAGTTGCCAAACAGCTGGAGAGTGAAATGTGATGGTTTCATGCATAAATACACTGTGTCAGAACCACCAGCAAGTAGCATAACTCTACAGACAGCTGTGACATTGGGAGAGGAACATGAAAGGGGAAGCAGAAGATGCTAAGGTTAGGCCACTTAGAGAAGATTAAGGAAACAAAGGAGATTGGAAATTCTTACTTGCTGAACTAGCTTTCTGTCAAAGGGTTCCAAGGGTGGGGAGACAAGGTAAGGAAGGAGTAAAAGCTTTCACTGAGATTAAATTGAAACAAAAATGAGGAGCTAGTGCTGAGTGTGGCAAAGAAATTAAATGGCCTTTCTGCCACTAGTGCTACTTGTTCTTCAGTTCATCCTCAACCCTCCAATTTCAGTCAAGGTACAGTTTCAGCACCATAAGGGTGTTTGTGGTGTGCAGAGCTACACATCAAGACAGGGATCATAGGCTCAGTTTCAACCCAGAATTTGTATTTGCTCAGGAAGATAAGGGTTAGCTGTGATTTAGGTCACCCTTTACCTATTCAGAGTGAAGTTTCTTACACCCTTATTGAGAGCTCTGTGTCTTTCTGCACATTTACCTTCATGGTAACAATCATATATCAGTTCTCCTCTCTAGGTTAGACTAATAATAGCTTCTTCCCAGTCCCTTCCCCCAGATCCCAAGTGGGACATGACTTCCTTTATTATCCTGCTCAGTGGGTGGCACTTCTGGCCATAAAAAAATTATCTTTTTGGAGGAACTGCTCCACCTCAATATCATAAACATTTTCTAATCCTGGCCAAAGAACAAAGAGAAGCAACTCTGGCAAGAGAACTGACACATTGTTCTCTTGCTGTGTGTTTCTCCACTCAGTCCCCAGATGCTAAAATGATAGAACGTGCCCAACTGAGATGATTCAGCCAAAGTAAGCACAGCAGTCAGGGAACAGACACTGTTGGCTTTGAGGTTGTTTCCTTTTGAGCTAGATTAGTTGCAGATTAACTTGCTGCTTACCCATCTTTTAAAGGAGAAAGAAGGTGGAATGAAAAACGGATGCAAAAGCCAAATTGGTCAGGAATATCTTTAGCATTTGGCCATGAAACTATTATTCCATAGCTGCATTGCTATCAAAGATATTACAGCAAGTAGAAAACACTATTTCCCTTGTTTAGAGAAGTTAACTAGTTTTAAAGATGATTAGTAAGATTTAGAGTATTATTCTGTATGGAAAAAAACTAAAGCTGAAGATAAAATGCTTCTCCTAACAATGGAAAGCCAATAAAGCCCTTAGTGTAAAAAAAAAAAAAGCTAACATACACTTCTGAGCAATAATTTCCTTTTGATTTCCTGTTACATAGACCAATTTAGGCACTAAGAGTCATTTTTAGAAGGTTGGTAAATGGAAGTTAGTTGCTTCATTTGAATTTGGGCCTTTTATTTTCTTCTTCCCTGTGCCTTGCTATAGAAAGGGACCTGAATTATTCTGATGACTTTTCAAATGACAAACTCTCCTGTATTATAAATCAAACTTGCATGCAACTGGGCTGTCCTCTGAAGTTCTTATTTCCTTTCACTACTGTCAGTCTGGTCAGGATATCAACTCAGCACTTTGCATTTGGAACCACCATTTCTTAAAAGTTCTCCTTTCACACTACAGCCCAAGAGAGGACACTGCACAACAGAAACAACAATCAAAAAGCTCTTCACTGTTGAATTTAACATGTTAGTTCTGTTTCAGGTAAATCCATCTCCTCCAGTACCTAAAACCACCCAGGGATTTATTGGCTGGAGATCAGGTGTTCCAGGGTTGGAACTTGAACATGATTTCCAAATCCAAAGCAGCAAAGGAACCCTGAGTAGGGATCTGAAGTGACCCTGGGACTGACACTGTGAAATAAGAACTAGGCACATGGATCTATTTGCATCCCAAAATAAACACTCTGTCGTGGCTGCTGGACTGATGAACATTTATGCTTTGCAAATGATTTCTGTAAACATCCACAATCATTTTGGTAAAGTGGGAATAGCTTCAAGTAGTATTTTGTTTGTCAGTGACTATTTGAGATCTGTGGCATCTGAGCTGTTAACTGCTTTAGGTTTACTCAGACATAACAATGGATAAACTCAGATGAAAATCACAGAGCAGGTACCATTGTTATTGGCATTATTAAGACTGTAATGAAAACATATTTATTGGAAGTCTTCAGAAAACTTATTTTGGAATGACAGAGCATAATTTTACAATTGTTTCTCCATGAAAACCTCTATTCAGGCTCAGTTTCACAGCAGCTTCTCCATACATACATTCCTGACAATCCAACCAAGCTGCTCAGTCTCAATTCATCACTTACCAGCACTGCAATCTGTGTTTGGGATCAGTGTGCAGTCAGCACTCTGAGCTGCTGAGCTGCCCAAGTGCCTGTGCTAGCACCAAAACATCTCCTTGGCACAGAGAGAGGATGAGAAGAGGCAGAGAAGAGTGGCAGTGATGACTTGAACTGGCTCAAGCTGCCATGGGACTGCATCCTTGCGCTTGGAAAGAAGCTTTTCCTCATTAAAAACAAACCACAGCAAACAAACAAACAAAAACCACCTGCAGTAAAGGCAATTGTTTCACTTCATCATAGTGTGTCCACTGGAGCCTGAGAGAAACAGGGAAATCCTAAGTGTAGTTAAGTCACAGCTCCAAAACACATTGTGTGTTGTGCTGTGTGAACCTCACAGGTATTTTGTGTAGTTACACACTTAATTGAGGAGCTCCCAGTAAAAAAGCAAAGTATACAAAGGCCACAGTGACACGAAGTGACTTTCAAAAATCAGTTGTGGCATCAAACCAGTTGTTTTTCCCAATGAGTTACTCAGGATGCAAATGGTTACACTTCACTGATGTAGCTTCGGTTCTGTGTGTACCAATATTTACACCAACCAGCACTGGTGAAAGGCTGGGAAGCAGCAGGGATTGCACTGTGAGCTCCTGGTGTAGCTGTGGAGTTCAGTCTTGCACTTCATTACATCCCTGAAGACTTGCCAGGATTTTGGAAGATCAGCAGGAGACTCATTTGGTAGCAGCAACTATTTGCAGGATATAATTCTAATTGGCTAAAGTGTTTAAACTAGAAGATTGTTTAAACAAACAACAGCCTCCAAGAAATCAACACAGGCACTTCCTTCTACCTCCTTATTCCTTAAAGAGAGAAGACTTTCCTCTTTGATCCTGCTGCAAGATCTCCTCTGTGTGAGCAGAACTGCAGCTATCAATATGTTCTTCTTGAGTCAGCAGTAAGTCCTTGGCTTCCCTAGCAGTCAGTCAGCAGTTAGTGTTTGTTCTTTCCTTCTTCCCCAGATATGACTCACAATGATCAACATCCCACCTGCTCTTTTTTTTTTACATCCAGTCCCAAATACCCACAGAATAATAATAATAATATTTGACTTTTTCCATATTCTTTACAAATAATGGAGCAGTGACTCATATCCTTTTGAAAGATTACCCAAGAATGAGAAGACATAGCAGAAGTAACTTCAGATATACAAGTTAAAAAAAACAGAATAAAGGATAACTTGGAATCAGACTCTGGAAATTTAAGCTAAATTGCTGTTTAGTTACTAACTATAAGCTGTGTAAACTGTTCTTTGGACAACCAAGATAATGATAAGGACAGTATTTCAGATCTCTATGTTTTCTTGTCACTACCAGGTTTGGATCTCTAATTGATTTGAATCATAGAATCATAGCATTTTAGGGGCGATCTCTAATTGATTTGAAGCATAGAATCATAGCATTTTAGGGGTTGGAAGGGACCTTACAGATCTCCCAGCCCTGGGCAGGGACACCTCCTCCCTAGATGAGGATGCTCAAGGCTCATCCAGCCTGGATTGAACACCACTTGAGTCGGGGTAGCCACCACATCCCTGATCCAATATAGGGAGTGTAGAAATGGCCATTTGCTTCCTTGACAAAGCTCTTGATGCCATGCATTTTTCCATCTGCTTTCCCTAAAATCATGGTTGTAGGGACCAGCTGAGATTGTCGTGCGACTCAGGAAAATCCTGCCGGGACAGCCCTGGCTCCCTGACCCAAACCTGCCAGTGCCTTCGCACTTCCCTCCGCCTGAAACAGCCCCTCCTTCTGCTCCCGAAGTGAGAGACGGCTGAGGCTTTCATCCTTCTCCGGGAGCACGACGAGCCCGGCTGGGCTAGTGCATCTCCTTCGCTGCTGACACGCGACAGACACAACATTCTCATCCTTAAAAGCTGGAGCGAAAACAAAAACACAGCAAGAGCCCAAAAAAACCCCAACAAAAAACCAGTGACATACAGTCCCTGTCTGGAAAAACGAAGCAGTCATTATGCTCTTATTGCCAGAGCACAGTCCTGTCCTTTGTTTCAAGGAAAGCTGCAGTAAATCCTCCTGTCTCCCATCACGTGTGTTCCAGCTTCCATCTGAGCCCTGTATTGGTTTAATGAACAAAATCCACACATTTACAGCCTCTCAGGAGATGCCAAGATACAACTGACATGGGGTGACAATGGTTATTGGTTCACTTAGGCAGAGAGAGCTTGTCCCCAACCTGAATTCCTCACCTCTGAATTCTGACTGAATTCTGTCTTTGGTTGTTACAAGGACATTAATTATCTGTATTCCACAACACCTTTAAATGGGTTTTTTCCCCTGAAAAATAAGGCCAGATGCATAAAAGTTTCTGTGTTTCTAACCACCAAATCATGACAACACTGTAACTCAATTTGTTGCTTGATTCTGGCTCAGAGAGGCTAAGGTCAGTGGTGTTTGATATGCCACATGGTTTGACTTTAAACTGACCATGGTTCAGGACTGGTCTCCAAATTCAGACCTTTAAATGATACAGCACAGGGTCCTTGCTGCAGAGAGAGCTCAGACAGTAAGATCTTATCTTTAGACTTCTAAGGAACTTGTGTGAAATTAGTGAGTGTGGATAAATCCTTCAGGGCAGGACACCAGGGCCTTACAGGGACAGCACATTGGACTTGCTCCTGAACCCACCTTTGCTGTGCACAACACTCACCCTGCCCTTCAACAACAGCAAAAGAGCAAAAACTTCACATTTTTTCCAGCACATACCAAACTACCTATGGAATAGAATTCATCTGTACATCCTCTCTGCAAGGTGTCCAGACATAGTCCACAGGCATTAACACACAGTGAAGAATGCAATGCCTGCAATGTCTTTTCCCTCCCAGAGAAGAGCCTTGAGAGGCCACTGCAATGGGTGGTTAGTTGGTGGCATTGATTTATTAATTTGTTACATGCTAATCATCAATCAGCCTCTGGTGCCCAGACAGCACCAGAGGTCAGGCAATCAGCCACTGACCTGCCAGAGCCTCTCCAGAACTCACAGAGCAGCTCCAGTTTGCTCCAGAACAGGCAGAGGAAGGGAACTTCAGCCCAGGAGGAGCTTTAGCGCAATGGGTGGTTAGTTGGTGGCATTGATTTATTAATTTGTTACATGCTAATCATCAATCAGCCTCTGGTGCCCAGACAGCACCAGAGGTCAGGCAATCAGCCACTGACCTGCCAGAGCCTCTCCAGAACTCACAGAGCAGCTCCAGTTTGCTCCAGAACAGGCAGAGGAAGGGAACTTCAGCCCAGGAGGAGCTTTAGCTTCATAAACCTTCACAGAGCAGCTCCAGTTTGCTCCAAAACAGGCAGAGGAAGAGAACTTCAGCCCAGGAGGAGCTTTAGCTTCATAAACCAAATGCCAACAGTGCCGTGCCCTCCCTGGGGTGAGCCCAGCCACAGCAGCACTCCTGACTAGCTCAGGGAGCACTTGCCTCGTGTCTCTGAGGTCAGAAATTGGCTAAACATATGCAGAACATGTTTGGCTCATTACACATGTGCATTTCAACCCCACATTTAGCAGCAAGGGAACAAAGAGACAATATATGGCAAGATACTGGGACTGTACTTCAAAGATCAGGATGCAATTCCACAGCATCCTAGGGTGACTTTGGCCACAACAGTCACCTCCTCTGCTCCAGTTCCCTCTGTACAAAGCAAAGCAACCATCTCTCATTTTAACTTTGCAATTCAGGCTCAGAGCCCTTTGTAGTGGTGTCTCCTTCTCAAAATACACCCAGCTCCCAGCACACAGTGTTCTCCTCACTACAGCCTTATGGAAATGGATCCCCAAAAAAAGAACCCTATAAAATATCCCCTGATGAGATCAGCCCAGCAGCACAACAGTGCAGTGAGCAGCTGTAATCTGTGGGAGGATTAGTTCTCTTCGCCATAAATCCCATCTCAGTTTGAAAAAGTTGCTCCCTTCCACCGAGCAGTGAACTCACTATCTGCAGACAACTTCCCTTCCCACCAGTACATCTGCCAAAGGCTCCCAGTAGTGTGTGACATTAAATAGGAGGTGTCACATCCTAATGACAAATATGAGTCCTACTCTGCCTGATTAACATAATTTGTTTCTTCACTGGACATTTTATTCCAGATGAGCTGCTTTTCATCCATCCACATTTTCTAAGGGGGAAAAATGCCTCCTGTCATGCAATGTTAATGTGCTCCCTGCAGTGACCTCTTCTCTCCAACTTTTCCTTCTCACCTCCTGTTCTCTGCAGTGCATGAAATGAGGTTTAGCAGCAGCTCTTGGTCAAGACTCTCATACATTGGACACCCTCCAAAGCTTTTGGGGTGTTTAGCACAGACTAAAGGTCGATCCCTATGCCACACACATTTAAATTTAACACTAAACTGGTGGGGGAAAAAAAAAAGAGAAAAATATGTAAAATGTCACTTTCTGACAAGCAGAAAATTAGAATTCATTCCCCTGAGAATTAAATGGACTTTTCTGCTTCCAGTCACTAACTATGACAAGGTTAACATTTTTCAGCCTAATGACTCAGGACATTAAGTGTGCATGGGAATAAGAAATGAAATTACTGGAGGGTATTAGCCAAGTGTGTGACAACAGCCCAAACTGACAACAGAACTCCAAGGATGCAGAACCCAGATACCACTGCGTGCTGTGGAGATCCAGTGGGTGACAGAGACATGGGTACAAACACATGGAGCTCATCCATCTTCCTGTCATTATTGTTGTAACACAAGCAATCCCAGGGAGATCCACATCTGGGTGGGGGTAGAGCATCCACAGTATCTCAGGCAGGGATGCTAAACTGGGCACCATGTGAAAACTCTGAAGAGTCTCAGAGAAGGAAAAATCCCAAGTGCATCTCTTACTTCCCCAAGGATTCTTTTACCACTCCCTAGTCATGATTCAATCCTGATACGAAATGAGGACTCAGGTAGGAGATTAAGTTGTCTTTTGTGACTTGCCTTAGCTTCTGTCCTCCCCAGTTCAGTTCTCCCTGTAGCTCCTCACTCAACTATGGCAAACTGAAGCTGTGGCTTCCAGACAATAATGACACAGCCAAGCAGGGAGAGCTCAAAGGAAAAGAGACATCTCTGTGCTATGGATATGCTCTAGGTGTTAAGGTACTTCAAATTATCAACTACTGGAAATCTTTCTGGACAGAAATTAAATTGGGGCACTAAAAGGTAAGACAAGAAGATTATATTTTCAAATATCTAATTTGGGCTGTGAAAAATAAGTCTAAAAGATGATATTTAGAGATCTGGGTCGAGTTAGAGAAAGCACTTTTAAACAGGGATGGTTAACACGGTGTGTGTCAGAACGATGGAAGCTGTGAGGACACCAACAGAATCCAGACTCCTTTGATTGGGTTTCAAAAGCTACTTGGCCACAGCTGAGAAAAATCTAAAGCTTACAATTTAGGGGACAAATGAAACATTTGAAAAAATGGAAATAGACATTGGAACTAAAAAAAGAAGGGAAGATAACCAGAGGAAAACAAATATTTTCATAACCACAGAATTTACCTCAGGATTAGCCAACTGGAAGGACTCAGCAGTTTCCCTGCACTCTCCTGGGGCTGTCAGGTGTCATTAATCCAAAACAATTTTCCTAGTCTGAAGTCAGGGTGATGAACTAACTATTAGGCAGCTCAGTTACAGATCATGTGTGCTGTAATATCGAAAGCTCGATGCTCCTCTCATCTGCAACCTCAGACACACATCTCAGCCTCTGAAAGCTTTTTGCTTGCTCAAACCAGCACGAGAGGATTCCTGCATGTTTTTATACCACTAGGCAAGGGCTGAGTGTCCCTGTAGCTCATGCTGCCATGGCTGTATCCCCTCCAACTCCTCCTTGCTCCCAGAAAGAGGCACAACTGCACTGGGAGATGTCCAAAGAGGAAGTTCTGTTTGAACCCCTCACTGACCAGCCAAGCTCATGGACTCAACAGGAACCTCCTGGGCTGGATGAGCCATTTCCCAGCCCTGCAGTGAGCAGAGAGCTGAGCTCTGGAGCAGAGGACCAGGACAGCTGCTCACCTGAGAGGAGCTTCCCCCAGTGCTGTGTGTCCTTTGCTGGGCTCTGATTTGTATTCCACACTGCTCCCACTCCACTGCAGCCTGATTGCTTTTGGTCCCTGTCCTCATTACCTCACACTTCCCTACAATAAACTGCATAAACCACTCATCTGCCTGTAGTCCTGATAAATCCAAATCATTCTGAATGAGCTGGTTCTGTTCCTCTGTCCCCCCAGCTTCCTCAGCCCCAGTTCACACCATCAGCATACTTAAGGCACTTTGGAAATTACATTCTGCTCGAGGTCACTGCACTGAATTTAATTCCCCTCACCCCCAGCACATCAGAGCTCTAACTCCCATCTGATTTATTTATACTGTTTATTATCAGAGGCCAATTCAATCAATACAAGCTGGAACTCAAACACACACATTTGAATTATGCATCCAAACACTCTTCAGGAGAGAGCAGACAACTGCTGTGGCCCAGGCCACTCCTCTAACATATGGGCAGCTCCCAGGTAAGGAGGCTTAAAGCCATGAATTTTATACCTTGACTTTTGCTTGACCCCAGTGGTTGTTTGGTTACTGGAAACCAAAGGAATTGGTCACAAATTCCTCAGAAGAGGCTTGGGCAAGGGATCTCTCTGCATGTCTCATCCCAAGCCAGTGGAACTGTATTTTGGGATGGGCTTTGTGAACTGACAGTTCCTTTATTGGCTTCTGTACACACAGGAAT